CATATGTTGTAGACGGGGCCTCCTGTCACTCAATGCAGAACGACCTCATTCACATTTGTAACTGCTGAGAATATTGACCCTGGCTTTGCCCACAGTAGATGATACAAATGCAGAAATACAAAGCACAGATTTAGGGGGGAAAGGTAACAACTCTAGTACTTTAGGAACCAGGGCTTGGTGGAAAATGTATAGTGCTAACAAGGTAACTTCTTTTTTCTTTTTCTTTTCTTTAAGATAGGGTCTCACTCTGTTGTCCGGGGTAGAGTGCCATGGCATCAGCCTAGCTCACTGCAGCCTCAAACTCCCGGGCTCCAGTGATCCTCCTGCCTCAGCCTCCCAGCTGGGAATACAGGCAGATGCTATCATGCCCAGCTAAGTTTTATATTTTTAGTAGAGATGGGGTCTCACTCTTGCTCAGGCTGGTCTCAAACTCTTGACCTCAAGCAATCCTCCTGCCTCAGTTTCCCAAAGTGCTAGAATTACAGGCATGAGCCGTCCTGCCTGGCCACAAGGTAACTTTTGAGTGGTGGGAGCACAAGGTCCTGAAGTCAGGTCCGCCGTCAGAGGGCTGGGTCAGGAACAGGAGGGAACAGGGATGGGCAGGACAGTGGGAGGTACATACATGGGGAGAGGGGCAGACAGGACACAAGGGGCAGGCAGTGGGGCGTGAATGGACAGTTTCCAGAGAAAAGCTGACAGTGATGCCCATGTCTGTCCCTCATGGCTCGGTGTCCACAGCTCAGTTCTGTCTGGAGAAGGAGGGGTGAGTCAGGCCTCCCAGCCATCTCCCCTGGGGGCCCCACACCTGCACAGCCAACACGGGTCTCAGGGCACAGTTGGTCAGTTTAATACTGGCTCCAGGTGGGTGAGGACAGCTCAGCCCCACCTGGGACTCAGGAGCTCATTACCGGGCTTCCCTGGAGACAGGCAGGCCTGTTCACCTGCTGCAGTAGCTCCAGGGGAGGCCACAGGGGAAGAGGAAACCAGCCCCCACCAGGGTCCCCTCATCAGGGTGAGGACCAAGGACACAGGAGCCCTCCTGCTCCCCAGTCACACATCTGCAGCCAGAGGAGCCCCTGGGGAGGGGAGAGGAGGTGAGGATCTGCCCCCAGGCCTCAGCCCTGCAGCCCAAACACTGACCAGGCTGCCCACCCCAGCACCTGCCTCTGCATCCTCTACACGGGGCAGCTCCAGACCCTGGTGCTGAGAGCTGGGGAGGATTCAGGGCTTTTTCCCTCCTGGGACCAGCTCAGTGCGGCAGGGTTGCTGCCAGCCACACTCACCAGGCGCAGGGACTGGCCCTCCTCATGGGCAGGGACGTGCCATTGCTCAGGGTCTTCAGGGCTGGGTGAGAGACAGAGGGAGCAGGAGGCTGAGCTGGGTGGCCTGTCTCTCCCTTACCTCACATCAAAGACAAACAGAAGACACCTGACTATTTGACCCATACTCATGAATAAACGGTCCCTGAGTCCACAAAGCTGAAAGCCCCTGGAGGGAAACAGGCTGAGCTGAGGGTGGAAGGAGGGGGAGTTGCCACAGAGCATCGTGAGTGGAGAAGAGGAGAAAGGCACTGAGACAGCCTGGCCGGTGAGGGGACCTGCAAGTATATCCGGGATCGTCCAGGGGGACACGCTGGGACATGGTGAGCTGGGGGTGCTGGGAGAGCTGGGGGGGCTCTGAGCAGGGAGCGGCAGGGTGGGCTGTGGGTGCAGGAAACTCTCTCTGGGCCTGGGTGCTGCGAGGGGCACAGCATGAGGGGAGGGGCTGCGGGGGTGGTGGGGGCGCAATGGCCAGGACAGAAAAGGCCATGGGGATGGAGGGAAGGGATGGGGCGAGGAGGGCAGGAGGAAGGGCAGGAAGGGCGGTATTTTTCAGGAATGAAGGATACAGGACCCGCTGAGTCCTGAGCATGGAGGTTGGAAAAAGGAGGCGCCTGAGGTAAGTTCTGCGTTCTCCCTGGATGGGGGGGGGCACCATGTGCCGAGGAGGCTTGAGGGGCAGCAAGTGGGGGAGGCGTCAGGCCTGAGCCAGAGGAAAGGACTATCACTAGCTCACTGGGGCACGCGGAGGGGCAGAGGCAGCCCAGAGCACAGGCACTATCCTGGGCCTGTCTGGTCACAGGGTCACTCAGTGTGGGAAGAGAAAACCCCAGAGTGTGTGGACGAAACAGTTATCGGGCACGAGGGAAGCTGCAGACCCACCACTGCCAGCGACAGGAAGTTCTTGGGGACGAGCCTTCCCCACTTCCTTCCCTGCGGCCCACAGCAAGGTCTAGAGACAGCAAAACACTCCCCAAAGTCACACTGGTGCGCGTGTCTCTCTTACTTGGAAGAGTTTATGAGAAATTAGAATTATTTCTGCCTTGCTCATGGGGAAGAAATTGCCAGTGAATTTGATCCCTGGAAAGTAATATTTGCTACTAAATCAATTCCTTAATGCATAAAGGGCTGTTTGGGTTGTTTGTTTCTTCTTACGCTACTCAAAGTTAATTATGATTTTTCAATGGTTTCTATATATCATCTAAATTGTATCATTAATTGGCATATGTTTGCATGAAGTATCCTTTTGTAGTGTTTTAAAATGAAAGATATTGGAGCAGAATATACTGTCTTGCTGTTGAGATCGTGCACATATGCTTGGTCAATTTTCATGGAATGAAAACATTCTTGAAGCAATGGTGCAGATCAGGAAGCCCCCCCAGCCCCCATTCCTACTTCCTGCCCCTCCCCGCAGAGAAAACCCTATAATGACCTTTATTTTACACAATCACAATCTTTCTTGCCTACTCTTCTGCCTCTGGCTTCTTGTGCTCACTTTTGTGAGATTTCTCCCCGCTATTTCACACGTCAGTGACCGTCAGTGCTGCAAGAATTGCACACATACATGTGCCACCCAGGGTGCAGCCCTCCTACTTTAGGAGCTATTCAGATCATTTCCAGTTACAGGCCTTGGCGAAGAGCTGCTGTGAACATGTCTTCTCGTATGTACGCGCACTGTTGCTGGGTGTGTTTTTTAGAGTGCGATTTCTCAACAAGCCCAAATCAAAAGAGGGTGATGCAGGATGGTGAGCTCTGCTAACCCCGTGTCGTGGCCCCTGTCGTCTGTACCACTTCTCCTATGGGATTCTAGTCTTTGGCTGTAGCCAGGTCTGTCCACCAGGTGAGTGAGCACATGTGCATGCTGGACTGTCTCAGTGACCATTTTCAGAGTTTTCTCAGCCTAACTTTCTTTCCATAGCCCTGCTTCTAGAGAGGAGGTAAGTATTTAGGGACATAGAGTTTTTAGAGCCACCCTAGAACCTTCCTTTTCTTTCCTGCCAGATTTACTTAGAAGTGTATGGTGTTATGTTTTATTGGTACCTGGTTTAGATTGTTGCTGGTGAAATTTTAGTTCCTGTTATTTAAATGTCATGTGTTCATTTAATACACCAAGTGACTTGGCATAGGGATATGTTGAGACCAGGACCTTCCTATTGGAGGGGTGATGACCTAGCACTCAGGAACCCACACCTGGTACTGGGACCTGCATGGGGTGATCTGCACGTGTCATATCACCCCTGTGAGCTGGGCTTATTATTCCTGACTGCAATCGGAAACTGAGGCACAGAGAGGTGAAGTGATTTAGTAATCAGGACTGATTCCAAGCTTCTCCTATTCTCAGAAATAATTTCTCATCTATAAGGAGAGAGACATTTACTCCATGAGAAGAAGTGTGTGAAGTGTCTCTTCCCCAGAGAGGACTTGGGCTCCAACACCAGGTCAGAAGCCCTGGGTGGTTCCTCACCAGCATCTGTCCTCTGGGTACCATTAAAATTGGTCTTTCGTGATTCCTTCTGCTATTGTAATGTGACTATAGACATTTTACGTCATTTTACGTACCTGGCTCACATTCCCTAGAGTCAGACCGGGAGCCTATAGGGTTGAAGACAGAGCACCACACAGTCACTCAGGCCCTCCTGCACTGTCCCTGTCTGGCACTTCCAGCCCGAATCTCAAGTCCTGAGCCAGGATTTCCCTGTGGGGCAGTGAGGATAGCCCAGCCCCGCCCCACCCCTAGCGAGTCTACACGGAGTCATCTGGAGGGCTCACTGTGTCCCTGCAAGTGCGGGCTCAGAGCAGCCTGGTCTGGCCCACAGTGGACCTCGCAGCCCACACACTGCTCAGCGGCCAGTCTGGGAGATGGGGCGGCTGAGAGGGTGGAAGGAGAAAAGGGAAGTGAGAGGTCTGCTGCTCCTCCTGCACCAGCTCTGACTTCCGCACAGCAGGGACTTCCCCGCCACACTCGCCCTCCCCTCCCCGCGACGCCACAGCGCCCTCTGCTGGCCGTGGCCCGCACTGCTCCCGCAGCCTGGGCGCGGGCTCCCACCTGTGCAGCGGAGTCCCTGGGGGCCAGGTGGGGTGAGGCCGACCCTGGAGGGGCACCCGCGGTGCCAGCGGGCAGAGACAGGGTCACCGCCTACAGCGATCGGGCTGAGCCAGCGGGAGCCCAGGGAGGGAGTGAGGACCTGCCGGAGCCGGGACAGGTGAGCGGGGAGGAAGGAGAAAGGTGAGCAGGGCTGTCGGGGACGCGCGCTCAGCCCACAGCAGCGAGCACGGACGGAGCCCGCGACCCTGGAGGAGACATGAGTGAGAAAAAGCAATGACAACACTCTGCCCACAGCGAGCTCACGTCCTAGTGTAATCGAGTAGGAAGAAGTGTCCCAAAGTGTGCAGTGGGGACCGTGAGAGGAAAACAAAGCAGCGTCAATCGAGAGGACAGGGAAGTCACGGGGGACAGTAGCCTGGCTTCGCTGCCGGTCCCCAGAGCCCCGGCCGACAGGAATATGCGCACGAACGCCCATGGCCCCGCCCACGGCTTCTGATTGGCCAAACACTAAAGACTTACAATGGGGGGAGGGACTTGCACTGTCAGCTCCTGATTGGCTCTGCAGCTGTGCCTCAGCTCCTATAGGCACGTGACCGCGCGCGCAAAGCTCCATCTGCCTTATTGATTGGCTGAGGAGGAGCACGCAGCTGCTGATTGGCTAAAGGTAATCCTATGCCGCCCCTGATTGGCTGTGGGGCGGACGCGCTCTCTGGGAGGCCCGCTGGCAGGACCCACAGTGACAGTTGGGCGTCCACACCGCCTTCGCTGCGCACAGGACACAGAGTGACTGACCCTACGGGGCCCGAGCTGTCTTGCTGGTGTCCCCGGCATTCGTCGGGTGAGGGACCTGCCTTGGGGCTCCACACACTGGGCTTCCCGGAGAATCAGGCTCCCCGTCAGGCGGGGACTCACTGGCCTCCCTGACCCGAGGCGGCCGAGCCCCTTGGTGGCGCAGAGCCCGGTTCCGCGTCCGTCGTGCGGCCACACCGCGGACCGTCGGTGGCTCACAGCAGCCGTCTGTGCTGCTCAGCCCGGCACCGCGCGGGGCGCCCGGCCAGCACGGAGGGCAGCGGGTCATCCGCCCCGTGAGGGACCAGGTGAGTGGCCGGGTTAGGGACCAGGTGAGCGTCCTCCTGGGTCAGAGCCCAGGTCACTTGCAAACCAGCTAATCAGATAATCCACCCTTCCCATCCTGCCCTGTCATCGCTCAGTCAGGCTCCCACGAAGTGGTCTCTTAGCGAGGCCGTCCCGACAGGGCACCGGGGGTTACTCACGCCCCTCCCGTGTGTGCCAGGTGATTGTCTCACACTGTCAGTCATTGGTTTTCCTAGAAATTCAGTTTTCAGGTCAGTCACCCCTAAGTCAGTACTGATGGGCTGCAGCCCCACCCACCGTTTCACCCCTTTGGCCTCAGACACCTTCTTCCGCCTCTCTGCTCCAGGGTCCGAGGAAGTCCAAGCTTGAACCTCACACTCCATCTCCTCCTAGTCCTCTTTTGGGGAATGGGGTGGTGACCGAGCCAGTGGATCAGCTCTGTGGCCAGCAGGACTCACTGGTGTCCGTGCAGGGGACTCTTCCCTTCTCACCTGACTCACCTGTATGTCTGTGTTTCCTGAGGCCCAGAGCCGGTCCCACCTTCCTGACCAAGCCCAAGGGCCCTGCCCACCCCAGTGGTCAGTCAGAGTGTGGATGCAGCTGCTGCTGCAGGACAGGCCGGCACCACAATGGCCAGCCCGGCAGGATCCGCGGGACCTCAGGCAGTGGGGACAGGGGGATTGCGACATTGTGGGCAGGGGAGGTGGGTATTGAAGGTAACAGGTTAATCAAATGGCAGAAAGTGGCCGCCCAGTCTCATGAACAACACTGTTCTTGCTGTCCTGCTGGGGATTGGGTCTGGTTGGACTGGGAACCAGGGCTCCAGTCTTCCCAGGGGAAGCCCTGATGGTGCAGAGTCCTGCTTCCCCAGGGGAGTCCAGGGCCCAGGGAGGGGGTGGGCAGTGTCAGAGGGCCTAGAGACAGAAGATTCAATCCGCATAGCTTCTGGGGGCATCATTTATACTCAAATACTTGGGCAGGCCAATTAAATAACTTCAGTGGTAACTAATGCATTGTTTTTGTATCATAAGTAATGGAGATGTATTTCTTAGTAGCCTGCAAATATTTTTATGAGTTTTCAGGGTGCAGCAGAAGACCTCAGAGATATTTTATAAACACTAGATACCCAGAGATGTAGATTCACCTTCCTCCAACTACCTAGGGGTTAAAGTTTGAGAAGCCCTGATAGGAAGGATATTTAATGATGTCATTCCACTCTGTTAAAGGAAAAAAGGATATGTGCATGAGTATATATAACATATGAAAATTGAAAAGATACAGAGGAAAATTCTGGATTTATCTCTCATTGGTCAAATTATGGCAAGTGATTTCTAAAAATTATATTCATTAAATTATAATGAATCATTTATATTTATTTCATGTATTTCATATTTATATTTTTTAAAAAGGTAAAAACATATACATGTACAAATATAATTAACACTTGAAAAACCTGGGTTTGAATTGTATTGATCCAGAGATATACAGATTTTTTTCCTAGAAATATATTGGAAAAAATTTTTGGAGATTGTAACAATTTTAAAAAGCTCAGAGGCCGGGCGCCATGGCTCACACCTGTACTCCTAGCACTCTGGGAGGCCGAGGCGGGAGGATTGCTCGAGGTCAGGAGTTCAAAACCAGCCTGAGCAAGAGTGAGACCCGTCTCTACTATAAATAGAAAGAAATTAATTGGCCAACTAATATATATAGAAAAAATTAGCCGGGCATGGTGGTGCATGCCTGTAGTCCCAGCTACTCAGGAGGCTGAGGCAGCCAGATTGCTTGAGCCCAGGAATTTGAGGTTGCTGTGAGCTAAACTGACACCACGGCACTCACTCTAGCCTGGGCAACAAAGTGAGACTCTGTCTCAGAAAAAAAAAAAAAAGCTCAGAGATGAACCACATAGTCTATGAATAACAAAAATATTAAGAAAAATTTAGGTATGTCATAAATGCATAAAATCCATGTAAACACACTATTATCTTGTATACTAGTAAACTAGTATAATATGTCATTTACTACCCTAAAATACCCCTGAGACAATAAGATCAACCCCTCCTCTTCCTCCTCCTGCTCAGCCCATTCAGGATGAAGGCTTTATGATGATCCACTTCACTTAATGAATTATAAATACATTTTCTCTTTCTGATGATTTTCTTAATAACATTTTCTTTTATTCAGCTTGCTTTATTGTAAGAATACAGTATGTGATGCAAATAACATACAAAATATGTGCTAATTGACTGTTATCAATAAGTTTCCAGTTAACAGTAGGCTATTAGTAGTTAAGTTTTTAGGGAGTCAAAAGTTACACATGGATTTTCTACTGCACAGATGAGTTGGTGCCCCTAACCATGTGTTGTTCAAGGGCCAACTGTGTACAAATATTTATACATTTATTCTTTTATAAATATTTTTACATTTATCTATATATAGTAATTATTTAAATGTTTTTATATTTTTCTTTGTCTTTTAAGGACATTCCAAATTCTGTAGCAATTGCATTCATTTTTGTAATTTAAAATGCAGTATGTGTTGTTATTAAAATGAAATACAAACACATTCCCAAGTGCAGTTTGAAAGACCTTGTCACTTGAATATTTCTCTCTCTTGGGTCTGAACAGGCCTACACAGTGTTCCTTCTGTGTGTGGCTCAACCCCCTTCCCTCAACTCCCTTCTGCAAGGACCACACACTGTCCTGACTCACAAAATTACCCCAAAGGGTGAATGTTAGGTTGAGCCTGAAGCTCCAACAACAGGGAACCGGTTATACACACTTGGTTCAGGTATATAACAACATGCCCTGCAGCCATTCAGAATGGCCATGGAGAATATTTAATGAAGCTGAGAAACAGTACACTGTTGAGGGGAAAAGAAGCCACTTGTAACACAGGACAAGGCAAATCAAAGATTGGTTGAGGCAGTGCATAGGAAAATCAAACGAAAGAACAGGACAAACATGAACAATTTTGTGTCTTGTCTTTACTGTGCTTTCCTGTGTTTCCTGGTGATCCCAACAGTGAGCCTTTGTGTGTTTGTTTGTTTTAATAACCTGGAAAAAATAATATAAATAAACATGAAAATAAAATAAATAAATAATAAATGAAGGTAACATAAAGATAGAGGCTGACTCCCAAGAGCTCTCCTCCCCCAGGCCCTAGCCCTGCTGGTCAGAGTCCACCTGGGAGGAAAGGCCACCCTAGAGGGCTGGGGAGACATGACCAGAAGCCTTTGGGACCTGGGACGTAGGTCGGTGAAGGGCAGAGGGGGCGGCCACGTCTCTAGAAAGACCCTCCTCCTGCAGGATCCCAGGCAGCTCATGCACCTTTCCGGCCCCAGGTGCAGCCTCCAGGGAGAGGGGCCTCTTGCTCGTGAGTAAGAGAGCACTGACCGCCTGCCCAGGGCTGAGGGAAGAGCAGCTGGGAACAAGGGTGGAAAGGGGACTAGGACCACCCCACCTAGGGGCAAAGCCCAAACTCCCAGGACAGTGGTGGGGGGTGAGGAGGAGGACAGGGCCCTCACCAGGACTTTTATGAGCTCAGACACCTGGGCACAGCTCACCACAGACACAGACCTGCACAGACCCACAGATGTAGCATGACACTCACTGACATACACTCACTGACCTGCACACGGCTGCATGAACATGGGCACACACACACACAGGGACACCCCCCCACAGATACATCGTTTCCATCCACCGCAGGAGCGATGAGCTTGGACCCCCACCCTCACCACCCTGCAGTCACATCTGCCTGGGTGCCCCGTCTGCCCAGATGCCCCCCCAGCTCTCACACAAGGACGTCTCCTGCCAGTGAGAGGCCCATGGGACAAATGGGGGTGAAGTCAGCACTTACTGGCTAAGAGCTTGGGGCAAGGACTGGTGCACAGTCAGCACTCAATGAGGTCTTCGGTATTATTATTACTATTAAGTTATTCAAGGCACAATCCAAACTGGCTATGATAAAACCCAGAAAGTTCTAGAGTGTTTCCAAGAGACTGAGTCACCTCTCCTTCCAGAACAATGATGGATCCCCTTACTAGGCAGAGCCATCTCCTCACACCAAGCCCTACCCAACACCACGGTCCCCGTCCTATTGACAGTGCCACAGTCTCCATGGTCTGAGCCTCCAGTCTGCATGAGAGCAAGCGTCTGGCAGTCAGAGGAGCCAGGCTGAGCACTGTGGCCTCTGTCATGTTCTGGGAGTGTGACTTTGGGCAGATAACTCCACCTCTGTGAACCCAATTTCATCATCTGCAGTGTGGTTAAAGCAGCGTGGCTGCTGGGAGGGTTAGACAAAATTTCTGTATACTATAAAGCTGGGCGTATAATAGGTGTGAAATAAATTATTATTGTCCCTATTATTATAACCACTGGCAATTAGGATGGTAGCGCCAACTCCTTCCTCACCCCCGTTGCCCCCAGCGGCATCTTCCTGCAGTGACCTTAAGACCTCAGAAACTTTCAAACTGTGGGGAATGCTGACGACTCCTGGTGTAGAGGTCAAATCCCCAGATCCACCTCCCCCACTTCCTAGGGCCCCACCTGGGGAGGGCTTGGGCGTGGTGTAACAGTTGGGCCCCCTCATCTCTCTACCCAGGACCCTCCTGCATTCCTTAAGGCTCTGAGATGTGACTTCCCTGATTTCTCCCCACAGGACACACCGGGCTACCTGAGTGTCCACCTCAGACCTGGACGACAAGACCAGAGGGCAAGGAGGTGAGGGAGTCTGATGGAGAAGGGCTGAGACCCGACTGGGACCGGCCAGGGTGGACAGGGTCCAGGGTCTCTCTGGAAGGGGACAGTCGAGAGAGGGAATCAGCCTAGTCACACCAAGATGGGAGATGGAGGCTCCTGGCAGAAGTCCTGAGCCCCCACTTAGGACCTGGGATGACATCATGGGCAGCATGGCCATTGGCAGCTCCAGATGCCGATCAGAGCTGGTCAATGGGATGCAGGCTGGGGCGGGCCACGAGCAGAGCTCGGGCTCTAATTCCCAA